ATAAAGCCCTCTGATTTTCACTCATTCAGAAAATGAATACTAACAGTTTGGTGTTTCTGGATTTTGTGACATACTTTTAGTATCAAAGATGACCTATTTTTTAATCTAGAACTTTTATGATTTTACTATTTTAGGTTTAAAATTCTGATGAATCTGGAAATGACTCGGTACTTTGAAATAAGAAAATAAATAGTTATTAAGTTTAATTTCTTTTTCAATGGATAATTAAATATACTGTTTGCTGAGTAACCAATTTTTCTTCTTATTTTGCAATGCCAGCATTATCATATACAAAGTTCCATATATGATCAGGCATAACTTTGAAACTTATCTTTCTATTACTAAGCTAGTATCAAATTTTATAATTACTACAGTTTAATAATAGTAGTTTTAAATATCAAGAAATACTTGCTGACTTGTAAAAAAATTGATATAAAAGTGAATAAAGCTGAAAGTAGAATTCTTCCATATAATCTTATGTTCTAAAATATCAACACTGCTCACAGTTTGGTGCATATTCTCTTGGAAGTTTTTCATACAATATGTATACTATAAATAGAAAGATATTATATCTTGGTCTGTAACTTTTTTCACTAAACTATCTATTGTGGGTATTTTTCAGCTCAATACAGTGAGATACACAATATATTTTTATCTGAATATGTCATTGTATGGCTATGCCATCATTACTTATACAATTTCTTATTGAATGCATTTATGATTTTTTTCTAATATTTTACTATTACCAACAACACTCAGATTATATATATAGGTGTATAAATATATATAGTCTTTATACACACACACACACACACACACACACACACACACACATATATAATCTTTATATGCTGTATTCTATAGGATAAATTCCTAGAAATAAGGTGGTGTGGTAAAATTTTAAATTGTGACAGATATTTCCAAATTGTCCTCCAGAAAGTTAATTTACATTTGGTAAAGAAGTGACAGGAGCACATTTATGTCCTGGAAATTTTTAGGGAACAGAGGAATGTAAAAATTGGGTCAGGAAGATATAAAGAATAAGAGCAGAGCTGAGAAAGAGATTGGTTGACAGCCATAGCTTTCTCACAGATTCAATATAAAAGAAAAGATGGCATTGGGAATTAAGGTAGGTTAGGTAAGGGGAAAAAAAATAATGGATTCTACTGTGTCTCTCCTTTGTACCCCTTTTTAGAAGTATTCAGTGAGTATAGAGAAAATAGTTACAATATTTATTGAGGGAGAATGCTCTAAAAAACATTCACATAATAATAGTCTGATATGAACCTTTAGATTTCATCCCATAACTGTGAGAATTTTAGTATTCAAAAAAAAAGATTAGTAGAAATTAGAATAATCGTGATAAATATACCAAAGTAAAAAATGACCACTTCTCTCAATATCAAAGAGAAACACAATGTAATAGAGAGAATAAAAATAGTGTTTAGCATAAGGACATGCTAGATTTCACCGAGTAAAATCTTATGTTGTCATGTAAATTAATGATTACTTCAGATTTTTTTAAAAATATTTTTTTGATGAGCCAATGGCCATTGAACATTGTGATGTTATTTGCTGGAAATATATGAATTAAGACTTAGTCATTCAATGTTGCATGTAGTAATAACAGATTTTATTTTATATTTTTCTTTTTGATGATGCTGGCGAAGGGGAAACTGTTATAATGTGTGCTGTCTCCAAAGGACCTTAATCCAGATGTCCATGATGTTAGGATGGCACTTCCAACAAACAAAAGGGATGTGAGAGACTCTGGAGCTTATTTTGTAAATTGTTTCATGTAGAAATGTGCCTGTCCTAGCATCAAGCCCTGGACGGAAGCCAGAGAGAGGGTTATAGAACGAGATTAAGGTGTCAGAGCTACAGGCAGAAAAAAGATATTGGGCAATATGTTTGCCTGATTGCACCACACACTTCATTTCCACTTACTTTGTGAATACCTTACAATGGGTGAAATATCAGTAGCTCTTCCAGTAAGTTGGTAGGTTTTTGAGTGATTTATCTTCTATACTTTTCAAACTTTGTGTAATATTTTATTGGTTTTATAATAAACATTTTTGGATTTTTTTTCTGTAAAACTTATGTAGGCACTAATAACATAAAATACTAAGTGGAATTTTATATATTTTGAAATGATTTAGTATTTTTGAGATTAAATACCAATACCAATACCAGATAATATGGCCATTAAAAATTATTTTAACAATAAGGACATGAAAAAAATAATCAAAATCCATATATACAGCATAATGAATACAATCTAAATAATACCTACAATACAATTAATTGTTTAGGTAATTTCAAATTCTCTAAACATCATACAATGATTATGTAAAAGGTAGAGTTATCTAAGAGTATTATTCAAGTATAAAATTATTCTAACATAAAGCAAAGCTGTTTCCTCCAGGTTATTTTGGTGGTTATCTCATTTTATGAATGTTTCAGCAAAGTGAAGAATTAAGATTTAAAAGCTTTCACTATTTTTTTTTTCTTAAGAAAATACTTTGATTCTTTTAAAGAATTACAATTCGTCTTTAAAAAAATTTTAGAATGGCAATAAATATTACAAGTAAACCTTGATTAATTAAGGAAGAATAAATGAGAAAGCCAAGGCAGTC